TCAGGCGCATTGAACACTAGTTGGTTTTGGAAATTAGCCCGTGAACGAAAGAATGCAACGTATTTGGCTAACACCTTTTTTTCGCGATTCTCACGTTCGTGCACAGAAGCTTTGTAATACATGAGTGACTCACTGGGCTTATTCTCTTTAGTATTTTGGTTCTGTTACACAGTTAAGTGTGAACATATTGTGTGATTATATGAGTTTTCTTTTCCATATAGTAGCATTGATCGTTACCACGTTTGTATCACCATGAACAATGCGGTGCTCCCAATGGGATGAAAAATCTTGATTAAACGATCGCGAATGTACGTTAAAGAATAATAACAAAACTTAGTGTCGATATAGTACTTTATAAAAATATATGTAGTATAAAAATAGAATAGGGAAAGTTTTTGAAACGAGGAAAATTACATCCATATTGCGGTACAAAATTTTATCTTCGTCCTTTCAGTTAGAAGCATCTTTTACATCGTGGACTATAAGTATATCTTTTCGTTGTGTCAAAGTTTGCTTACAGGAAGTTGCTTTTAATTTTACTTGAATAAGTTTCAGTTACAACGGTATTTGCATTCAATGTCCTGAATACTTTTCTGTTGTTTCGGCTCTGACTTAATTGAATAGGACTACTAGTTTTACACATAATTTAAAAACTTTGGTTAACCATTGTAACATAATGCAAAAACTGCATGCATACTTTATGAGTATTTTTTTTGTTTTTGAATATTTTATTCGTGAATTAAATGAAAGATTGATTAAATTAATATGAATTTATTAAATTTGGACATTATTTAATGAAAATATATGTGATTATCTAATATCAAACTATCGAAAATGTATATTTGATGAAAAAAACAAAAAAAAAAGAAAATATGTTACAAGCTGTAAAATAGAAAAACAATGAAAGATTTAAATTTATTTAAATATATTTAATATATTTAATATAATATATAATTTATTTAATATAATATATTTAAATATATTAAATTCGTATTTTTTAATTTCGCAATGCATATAATTAAAGATTATATATATATACTTTTATAAGAACAACACTAATATTATAAATAATGATCATTTTTAATACGTTTTTTAATATTTTAACCATCATTCTTTTTTCGATTGAGGTTTGTTAGCAGGCGCAGCAAAGTTTTGAAAAAAATGCGCCCGCATTAAATTGCAAAGTTTTCACAGCGCATTTCTTGGACAGTGGATTTAATTAAAACATTCGCTTTTCTCTACCCTTCGGATCCCTCAGTATTTTTATCACTGTTACCCACCTCCAACTGTTTACGTTCTTTTAGCTTTCATCAATTTCATACCGTATTATACGATGTAACGGAGGGGTCGATTCATAGATGGGAACGTGAGTTTTTCCGGGAGAAAAAAAGTGTCGGAGCATGTGTGATATGTCGAAGCATTCATTCTCTTCTTTCGTTCGGACAGGCTTTCAAGATAACCGCCATTTTTCAAGACAACACTCTCGCATATAAATTGTATGAGTATTTGACATACCGAGAAATCATTTGCTTCGGAACTTTGTGCGATTATTTTAGAAGGTGACAATTGTACGGCTAAGCTAATGTTATAAGAAAATAATGTAGGTATTAGGGGCTTGAAATTAATAATGAAATTTTTCTTATATGTCTACAGAAGAACGAACTTGCATAAGTAGCTTAAAAGTGAATAAAGAACCATTTCTAATTAAAAAAAATTGGCATTTTTGGAAAAACTATAATATATATACCGATAATATATATATATATATATATATATATATATAACTCGTTGATATTTAATAAAAAATTACTTTCAAAATTTTATGTCTTATTTTTGATATGTGAATTTTTATTTGATACGCAAATCTAATTTAAAGTAAATGTCTTTTTAATATCTTATGAAAATGTCATCGTTTTAGTTATTTATATATATATATATATATATATATATATATATATATGTCGAGTTTATTACTTATAAAAATTTTATTCTATTTCCGTATGTAATAAAGAATATCTATTTATTACACAAGCTAATTGAATAACGTTCAACAACTTCACTACAATGCGACGTTCGTATTTATTAAGCTATAGTCCTAATTTTTCTTCCTTATTCAAACAGAAATTTTATATACTTAATATTATTTTGTATTATTTGAATACGAATAATTTATCGTTTCAATGTGAAATAAATCAATTATAAGGGAAAAGTACTCGAATGAAAATATTGAGTTGAAGAAAAGTACGAGAAAGAAGGAAACATAGCAAGCGGCATAGCGCTAGTATTAAGCTTGTCGCTTTTCCATGTCCGGAAGCGTCCTTTGGTCGTTTTCTATTTATTCTATTTATTCATCCTTGTCGTTCGTATACTGGTAGAGAAAATAAAAGGAACCGCAAAAACAAAAGCGTGGCTACTTAACGATACAAATTGTTGCTTCGTTGCTTAAGACAAGGTGGAGAATTTAAAAGTTCTCTGCTTGTCCGTGGCTTTCTTCCTCGCTTCCTTTTCCCATTCCTGTCTTAGTCTTATTTTTTTTTTCCGTTCTTTTTCCCGTCCACTTTTCACAAGCGAGGATGGGGACGGCGAAGTCGTCCTCACGGCGCGAATACTCATAAAATGAAATTCAATGTTCGTTAGCTCTGTTTTCTTTTACAGTGGGAGAGAAACTTTTTCCTGCCAAATTGATAAACTTCTTTTTTAATGGCCAGGCAATTGCGCTCGCTTATTTTCGCATTTAAGTCGTACCATTTAAGAGTTAGCTGAGAGCGAGGTCGATTAAAGGGATGTATCCTTAGCACATAATAGTTACATATTATTTATCACACAAGTTTTTTCTCTCTTATGGTTAATTAAGTAATTTTGACAAGTAACTCTACTATATGATTTTCAGTAATATATATTATGTGAACACTATTAAATTGATAGTTAATACGCTTGTAATTATTGATTCTCGAAGATTTATGTGCCCTTAAATACGATATTTTATATTTACATTTGTATATTTAACAAGGTATTCTGAAATACGTAACTGAAGCTTAAATAATTATAAGTATTTTTCATCTTGATAATATGTAATTTCCGTAATATAATAAATAATTAGAGCATGTTTCATTTAAACAATTTAAAAGCAAACTTCTACAAGACTATAAAAAATTAATTTAGGCTCAAAAATATCACACGCTGCGAGTAACAAGTTTAGCATTGTAAATATGATCAAATTAATAGCACTATAAGATGCTTTAAGAGAGCATATCTGTTATGCAATTATGATCGATAATTACTACGTCTAAGATTGTGTTAACTTTAATGTATAATACACTTGTGAGTTTGAGTTATGCTCGTGGTCGAGCGATTTCATCAAGATTACACATTTATAAGTTAAGAATAGCATTTTCGGAGTTACATTTTGTAACAACTTAAAAGCTTAAAATTATATACATAACATATAAATATATTCAGATATTGTACATTCATATATATTATTATTTCATTGACAATACACAAAATCTCTACACACAATGGAATTTTAAAAACATAATTAAGGTATCATGCATAAAAAGCCGATAAACGTCCTGTTGTCAAATAATATTAAAGCTATGCAGGAGCTGGTGACTTTTACATTTACATGATAGAAAGAAGTGAGCACAGAATAAAAAGAATAATGAAATACAAATTATAGCATGAAATTATAATTGCGCAAGCTAGTGAAAAATGGAGCAAATAAAACGATACTGAAATCTTGAAAGATTGTGCCTAAGTATATATAAAAAAAAATATATATAATACTAATAATGTAAAGAAAACGAAATAGTTTGAATTTTGTCAAGCGTAACTTCGATTTCGGATGTTAACGTGAAATGTAAAATTAATTTTTATTTGTACGTTATAATATGTTGAATTTATTATTCTATTATCATCCACTTTCTAGTATTTCGTATATTTTAAATATTTCAATTTCATAAATTTCAGATTTATGAATTTTGCAATTATAATATTCATTTTATATGTAGTGTAACACAATTTTTTTTTTTAATTTGTGGTATTTTGTAATTTGGTAGATTTAAATTATTCTACAAAATCAAAAACTTGTATAAATATAATTTTAAATAAAATCTACTTATTTTATGTTTAATTTATTAATGTGCTCCAAACAGAACTAAAGAAATTAAATTTAACTAAAAAAGGTATTTAATTTTCATTAATTATTTTCTTTCCACCGCTTTCATATTAATGCCCGCGATTAAAGTAGTAAAAATTAAAAAGGCAATTTTGAAATAACTCTTTTTTATTATAAAAGTATTTTTCTAGAGTTTGCGTTTAAGATTATTAAATAATGCATGAACTCTGTAAATTTAGAGATATAATAGATGTTTTCAGAAATTCTGTTATTGAATATCGTGTTGACCTTCAAGTGTACACTTAAAATTTATTTATTTGTAAATATAAAACGTATGCAATGTAATGAAATATATAATATAAAAACAGATTATTTTTAGATTTACGTAAAATCGACGTTTTAAAATATTTTTTATTTTTATTTGTATAAAAGTGTGAAGTTAACGATAGAAGCCGGAAGAGTTTTATATTAAGCAGAGGTACCGATCATCGCCGTGCGATCGGCGAATTCAAATAATTATATAAAAAGTTATTGAAAAATGCATATCATGCAACATCATGAATCTATTGTTATCTTTAATCTCATAAAAATGTGTCATAAACTCAAAAGTTGGTATTGACAAGGTGTCGTTAGAATGACGTTAAAAATTCCGAAATAGTGATGTCGCGCGCGGAAGAACACGGAGCGTTCAAAGATCGCAAATACGACATCCACGCAGTAGCTAAGAAAGAAAAAAAAGATAAATAAAAGAAACAACTAGCGAAAGTTAACAGAAAATATAGTATGAGATGCTGGCATGTTTGGCAGACAAAGAAAAATTGAGGGTGGGGCAGGCGCATCTCAGGCTGAATGTATCCGACTAAGGGTTGAGTGTTCAACTCACTCGCTGCAGAGTGGACCAGCATTCCTCAAGGGTGCGCTCGTTGATGTTGGCCATCCCGCCAGTGCCCGCGGCTCCTCCTCCTCCAGCAGCATTCCCTACGAGGCCCGCTGCTCGGGACTGCGACCGGGACGAGAGACAGATAGAGAGGAGATTCGCATTAGTTGAGATCTGCGTCTTTGATCTTGACCAACAGTTATGTTTGGAACTGTGCGCGCGCCAATGCTTCATACACACGCACGCACGCACGCACGCACGCACGCACGCACGCACGCACGCACGCACGCACGCACGCACGCACGCACGCACGCACGCACGCACGCACGCACGCACGCACGCACGCACGCACGCACGCACGCACGCACGCACGCACGCACGCACGCACGCACGCACGCACGCACGCACGCACGCACGCACGCACGCACGCACGCACGCACGCACGCACGCACGCACGCACGCACGCACGCACGCACGCACGCACGCACGCACGCACGCACGCACGCACGCACGCACGCACGCACGCACGCACGCACGCACGCACGCACGCACGCACGCACGCACGCACGCACGCACGCACGCACGCACGCACGCACGCACGCACGCACGCACGCACGCACGCACGCACGCACGCACGCACGCACGCACGCACGCACGCACGCACGCACGCACGCCTCTCTTTCTCTCTCTCTCTCTCTCTCTCTCTCTCTCTGTCTCTCTCTCTCTCTCTCACTCTCTCTCTCTCACTCTCCCCCTCTCTCTCTCTCACGCTCTCTCTCTCTCTCTCGCTCTCTCTCTCTCTCTCTCTCTCTCTCTCAATCTCTCAATCTCAATCTCATCTCAATATCACTCTCACTCTCTTTCTCTCTCTGTACTCACTCATTCATTCGCTCATTTACTCGTACGCCTCTTATTCGTTCTATCAAAGTAAGGGGGTGGGCGGATACTGCATTACTTCCGAATTTCACGGCTCGTTTGCGATGTCGCGATTTGAGCGTAACGATACTTAATATGCCGTTTCCGTAGCTTGAGTCACAGAGTCATGGCTATTTGTTTGAGCATTCGACAGATGCTTCACACTTAAGGAGAAGCTAATGCAATCTATATATTCATCTATAAAATGATATTACGATCATAATTCGCGAATAAGCTTCACACTTTGTTTCGTTATATAAAGTTATGAATAGCGTGAATTCGTTAACTATTGATATTATTAAAACAAAGTTCTGAAATGATTTTTGTGTAATTTATGATAAATACACGTATACATAGGAGGCTTTCATTTGTTTTCCTCAACATTATTTCTATTGAATTAATATATGCATGCGCATACTTAATACTCGCGTATTTAGTGTAAGCTAATAAGAGGCTAATAAGTTGTAATGATCGAAAAATTAATGATTCGCAGTATAATATAAAACTTATAGTTTTATATGAAATGTTTTAGGAATAATTTTTAAAAATGCAAACACATATAATAATGAAGCAACTAAGATTTCGCTACTTTATCTGTATTTAAATATTTATTTATAATTTTAAGAATAATATTTAATTGTTAAACAAATTATTAGTTCTGTTCGATTGACTTTAATTGATAAATTTATTATTTGCCTGAATATATTTAAGATTAAAAATAGTTTTTATTTAATAAAATATGTAATTTTTCATAACAATTTTTGCAACCCTTAATTATAATAAGCATAACAATGCTTTATTATAATGTATGGAAAAGCCTGTAGTAAGTTTTAATGAATTTGAATTTTTATTTCGCGTAGCCTCGATACTTAGCGCATTTTCAACGAAATATTGTTTTTGAATGCGTTGTGCCTAGTCCATGCAGAAAACCGTGACTGTTGCGCATCTCTATACTCATGTTGAATATTATTTATAATTGTTTCATGTACATTCATGTATATATATTTTTTTCATAAAATGGACTGCATGTTGATAATGATATATGTACATACGTATACAAATGTGTGTGTATGTGTGTGTGTGTGTGTGTATGTGCGCGCGCACATTCAAACATACATACATATACACGCGAGTGTGCATATAGAGGAGACGGCATTATCTGTGTTACCTGGGTCAGGAACCCCGATAAGCGAGGGATGTATCTACATATATAGATGAAACGGCGTATAAGTGTGCCAATATGTCTGCATACCTATGTATATAAAGTATGCGTACGTTGGCTCCGAGAGATGCGCTACAGTCTCACTACGCATACATAATGCATATGAACAGGTGCACACATACTCACGCATAAGTTTTTCTGAACTAGATGGCATTAATATTATTATACTAGAACTATTTTCTTTTTAATAAAATAATTATGTATGAGCGTGCATGGGCGCGCGCCTGTGTACATATGTATGCATATTACGGCTCTATGTGTATCGTGAAAGCGGAGTTATACTTGGCCTCCGAATGTAGTTATGTCAGATTTCCAATATTGACAATACTCAAATTTCTTTGTATTTTTAATTTTCATTTATTTCATTTTGTATTTTTATTTTTATTTAAAATATTTAATAAAATTTTTATAAATATTTTTAAATTTAAACATAAATTCACGAATGAAAAATACTTTTGATGCAGATCTAATGTTGAAGATATTCAAATTCATTGTTAAATTTGCATTCGGTGAAACGTATTAGGTATTTCGATTGTGAAAATGCTTTCCACCATTTATGATAAGATGCGAGCTTATAGAATGACATAAAAATATTTAAAATTTATATAGTATTAATTGAGAACTTTGTAAGTAAAGCTAATTCGTAATATTTCAGTAAGTAATTAAAAATTTCATTCTTTCACTTAAATTGACAATAATATTATTATAATTTAAACTGATAAGTTTTTATTTAAAATCTTAGCCAATTTAGATAGAAAAATGATATTTACTTGAAGTAGCAATTGCCATGAGTCGTTATCGTAAATGTAATAAGTTTTTCTGACTAGCTAATATTTATTTTTTATTTTAATATTTTTTCATTAAAGAGCTATTTCCTTTTTCATAAAATAAAAAACTAATGCAGTCTCACCTGAAGTTCGTTAACAAGTTTCTCGGTTAATGTGGCATCATGCGAATCTTGACTGCCAGTGCCAGGACTGAGGATGGAATTTTGAGAATTTTGCTGCTGATTTCCAGGAATATTCATGCCCGTTAATCCCCCATTCTGACTGATAGAATTGGCCATGTTCAATGCTTGCTGCTGAAGGTTTTGCGAGAGATTCTGAGCTTGTTGTGCCAGATTCTGCGTCAAGTTCTGAGCTTGCTGCTGCATCGTTTGTTGACTGAGGCTTTGACTTAGGTTTTGCGCTGGCTGTTGCAATGTCTGCGTGAGATTTTGCGCTTGATTCTGCATATTTTGTTGTAAGCTCTGGTTCGTCTGACTAAGATTTTGCGGCTGATTTAGTAGTTGCTGCTGCGGTGAAAGGTTCGGCGTCAGACTCTGAGCTAAATTATGCTGCAGGGTTTGGCCCAAATTTTGTTGCATATTCTGGGTAAGGGCCTGAGTGAGGGCTTGACCCAGATTCTGATTTAGGGCTTGAGCAGCTTGAACAGCTTGAACAGTGAGTGACGGACTTGAAGCCTGTGACATTGATTGTTGAGCCTGTGCCTGTGCTTGAGCCTGGGCAAGGTTATGCAAACTTTGCGCCATACTCGATGCAATTGCATTTTGTTGTTCGGCTTGTGGCGAAGGCGTCGTAGGCGCTGGCGGGGATTGATGCTGCGTTCCCTGGGAGCCTTGTGCGATAGACATTGCGTGTTGTTGCTGCTGCTGCTGCTGCTGCTGTTGCTGCTGCTGTTGCTGCTGCTGCAATTGCGAGGCAGCGCTTTGTCCGATACCGCCATTGGTATTGTGCTGTACCTGCGAGGCATTATTCTGCTGTTGTTGTTGCTGCTGCTGTTGCTGCTGCTGTTGTTGTTGCTGTGGCTGTTGCTGCTGCTGATGCTGTTGTTGCTGCTGCTGTTGCTGCTGCTGATTGAGTGGACTGTGCATGGCATTTTGCTGATTGTGTTGGTTTTGCTGCTGTGAATTTTGTAATGGGCTATGCTGCATTCCGGGCGATTGCTGTGACGGTCCTCGTTGAGGTTGTTGCCAATAATCAGACATCTTAAATACATGCTGACGCAGTGCGTGGAGATTAGCCGCCGCAGCGGATACTGCCGAAGCTTGGACCTCCATAGGCTCCGGCTCTGGTGCAAGATCTGCCTCGGGTGAGCTAGGATCTTCGTCTTCGTCGTCTTCCTCGCGCTCGTTAATGTCTTCGTTCTCCTCGTTGTTATTAATCTTCGCGGACTTGACCGCGATGCCTCCGATATTTCCTCCTACACCTCCGCCACCAGCAGCACCACCTTCTCCGCCGCCCCCTCCTCCTTCTATCCCACCCCCCGAATCGCCAGAGTGATGGTGATTCCCTGGATGATGCTGGGGATGATGCTGAACGTGCTGATGTTGATGATGAGGCGGATGAGGGCGGACCTCCGCTGGATTTTGCAGTGGGTCTGGATTGTGTGGCTGATGGTGATGGTGCTGCGGTGGCTGCTGCTCCAGGCCAAATTCTGATTGGGCTTGCGACTGGGCGCGTAGGTCCAGGGCCGCCGTTGCGTCCGAAATCTTGAGGCCTTCGCGAGAAGCCCGTGCTATCCCCTTCCGGCGCAGCTTGCTCGCTTTTTGACACTCCTTTCGGTAAGCAGCTCGACGACAGGCGCACCTCTGCTGTCGCCGCCGTCACTCGTTTAGCGAGGGTTCGGCCTCACTCCTCGTTATTATTGTCGTCGTGGTCAACCGAGCGATTTTGAGTCCGGCTTCGACCTACGACTCCTCCAACGGCGTCAGTTTTCCACCTGCGCCGATATCTTACTCGATAAACTAATCGAAACTATCAGGCTCATCAAAACTTTTTTAAGGATTCGCGGATAATTCAGGCTTTTGCGATTAAACTTTATTTAAAAATTTTGACAAATTATAGTTCCCACTGATCCTGCCGAATGTAGTATTCGATTGTTTCTCCTCGTCTTCGTCTTCCTCTTCGTCCGTCCTTATTATGTACAAATACTGTATTTCGTCGTGTCGTGTGTGGTAAGGATTGTCTGTTGAGTGTCGATATTGTGTGAGTATTATCATGCGCGCGTATTCAATCGGATGTCCTCGCACTCGACGGAGGACAGTCCTATTTTCTTTCTTCTATCTACTTAGACTCTATGCCTACACTTAAATTTAAGTTAAATTCAGGATTGCCCAGCCCGGACGGTGTGAACGAGACGAAGGTTCACGGACAATTTGACGTATTATTTGTTCGTATGTCGAAGGAATCTTCTTTGTGGCTTAGATTTGGTGATTGGTCTTGGAAGAATTCTGAACAAGTTAGTCGTTAATTAAGGATGAAACAACGGCTCGTCCCGCGTTGCCCTGAATTTTAAACCCCGTTTGTGTATGTATGTTGTATTTGTGATGAGACTTGCACTTTCCGTTTCAGTAACGTCGAGTTTAAATCTTTATCGTGTATGATTTAACGGAACGAGACTATGTTTCCCTTGTAGTATTCTTTATTCTTCTTTACTGCTTCCTCGATATACGCCGTCAAAATCCGTCGACAACCCCTTCTCGAGAAAAATGCGACTCTAGTATTAATCTTGAAAAGGTTTTATTTTTATTTTTTATCAATTATAGATTACCGCGTCGTACCGATCGTCGATGGTGGTAGCTTTTTTTTTACTATCGTTTAATTAATATTGCACTTAGGTACACTTGTTTGTTGAACACACTGTAATATATATGTTTGCGGCGCGGGGTCTCGATATCTTCATTCGATTGCTTTTTCACTTTTTCTCTTCCTCTGTTTCTTTTTAACTTTTCGTTCTTCTTGTTATTTCGAGGTTTCACGTATATTCTCTCCCTGATTCTGCTGATCTTCTCCAATCTCACTCCTACCTTTCAAATCTAGTCGGTTTGATACCCCGCTTTTATCCGTTATTCTTTCTATTTTCTTCCGCTTTTGTGCTCGTCTTTTGTGTTCTTGACTTATTCTGCTTTTTTCGCTTCGTCCAGTCTTCCTCTCCTGTGCGGGAATAACTTGCTGTAACGCGTCTCCCGCCCGAAGCTGCAATTACACAAAATTTTGTTTGTAATTTTACCATAAACACACGCTAACAAAATTTAGACAAAATTATTTAGAAATATAGTTTCATGAAATAAAATAGAAAATTAAAAATTGATTACCATAGTACACTCTAATACAAGTAAAACAAAATCAAAATAAGTGATGGAAAGAGAATTGAAAAGTCATTCATATCGTGATGAGGGTAGTATTAGAATATTGGATTATGAAGTGTAAGTGCATGAATAATTGCATTTAAAGTGTGTAAAATAATGAAGTTTATTTATGATCATTAATTTATTCTATCTTACTTTCCACATTTTAGTACAAAAGTTGAAATTTTCAAATTTGAAAAAATTATCAAGTTTGAGCATTGAATCATTTAATCCAAAAATTGACTAAACTTAATTTTATATAACAATATTATAAATGAATTTAAAGCATACTCTTTTGAATTAATAATTTATTAATTTCATACTTTAAAATGATTAAATTCTTTTAGTTATTTTTTTCAATCTTAATTTTATTGTTTGTTTCTAATCCTGGCGAAACAAGCTCGCGCTTCATAATTAATAGTCATTCATTCAGATATTTCCGATTTCAGTATTATATTACCACTTGTTTTTGATAATCACACGGGAATACAGTAAATATAAAAAATATGTTCGCTTACTATCATAACGAGTACACAAATAAAATGAATGACATTATCTTTGAAAGTAAAATAATGAAATGATTTTACATAGCAATTGTTGAGACTAGCATGTGCATGCACTGTCATAATTTCTTCGATATCATTAAAATAGATATTTTTTATCGTACGTGTCTATTAAGTAAAAGAAAAATTGTAAAAAATCTGAAATAAAATTTTTTCTATTAAATATTTAACTTCGAGTGTTATATAAAAAGTATTTTTCGCAGACTAATTGAATATAGGAAATATCTGAAAATTATCAATATAAAAAAGATTAATGATTGCAAAATTTATGATTAATCCAGTGATTGCATGACGGAAATGAAATATTTTCAGTTATCGTGATACCGTAACAAATTTGATTATCTTAAGGGAGTATTTACGTAAATAAAATTGTAAAGCTTCTTTATAGCTGTGTTTATGATTCCGCGATCTCGCCGGTTCACTGACATTAATATCACATGTGAAACGTGTTGTGAAGAATAGGATGAGTGTATTATTCAAATGGATATTAATTAATGGAAGTAGTGGTAAAATCCACCTTGAGAAAGGATAAAATCACCAGATAAACTGGAAGCAATGACAACAGTGAACTCGCGCACTTTGTAATAATGGATAAATCAAAGGACACTTGTTCACTTAGTTCGTCGTTGCTACTGGTTAATGGTTTCACATAACTTGTGAAAAATCCTGCAAACTACACTTGGAATTTTTTCTAATTATGAGTATATCAAGTTTAGACATATTCTATTTCAAGTTATCACATAATCACTGATCCATTCACTAAGATTTTAAGTTGATAGAGAATGCACTGCAGGAAAATTCTGCTAAAGAAACGGTAAGATTTTTGCAGTATTATCTTGTCAATCCCTTATTGGAATAAATTTGGTCCACCACAAACGTTCACTTCAATTCCAACTCAAATCGGTATCTGATTGTATTCATTGTTAGAAAAAGATTCCAAGTGACATTCTTCATATAATAAGAACAACCACTTAAAATATTTTTCTACACTGAGCTCGATGCAACCCCGGTACTAGAATGCAAAATTTTACGAAATCACTGAGACTGTTCACTCGCCGCAAGTTTTGCAAATCGTTTTTAAAGTTAAAAAAATTCCAAGTGCAGCAATCATTGATCATCTTACTAGATTTAAAATGATCGTCGCAGCCTCTTATTAGTTGGAGAATCTATCCGGATATAAATACAAAGTTAAAGTCCACATGTACGTCCAACGCATAATTCGTTATAACATTTGAACGACTTGAGTTGTAGCGAATTTCTTCATCACAGAGGGATCGGGTGCTACTTGCGTACGTACTCAAGACTACGAGCGCCAAGATACAACTGCTCGCTGTCGAAGACGGCGACGATGACGACGGCGACGACGACGACGACGGCGACGACGACAACGACGGCCACGACGTTCGAGAGAGAGAGCGAGAAAAGAAAAGTCTTTTTCCCTCTTCACCGCGAGGTGTTCGAGTCCTTAACGGGCGAAGGAAGCGAACTGACTCGGCTCCGCGGTCCGCGAGAAATGCTCTAAGTCCTTCTCCGTAGAAAGCAGGAGAAAGAGAGTGAGAGGGAAATAGTATGAGAGAAAGAGAGTGAGAGAGCGAGAGCGAGAGAGTGAGATGGAGAGAGAGAGAGAGAGAGAGAGAAAGAGAGAGAGAGAGAGAGAAGACGTTAATGTGGTGGAGTGCGGCGCGGTGGTGGCGCGGCGCGTCTCAGACCGCGTGCGTCTGACTAAAAGCCACCCCCTTCGCCTGTACAGCGGCGCTGCCTTAAAGAACCCGTGCCGGGTAGGGGCGTTGTCTTAGGTGATGCGCGGTCGCGAAATTTCTGTCCGACGCCGCTCTCTCTCTCTCCCGCTGCTGTCGCCGCCGCCACCGCTGCCGCTGCCACCGCCTCCACCGCCGATGCCGCCGCCGCCACCGCCGCCGCCACCGTTGTCTTAAGCGCTTCACCGACGAAGGGGCTCCGTTTTCCTCTCGCGCGCTCTCTCTCCCTCTTAGAAATCAAAAAGACAAGGACCTCCTCGCGAGGCTCACCCCCTTCGACGGGAGCGCCCCAAGTCGCCCGAGGTCCGCGCTCTCCGTAAGCGGGCTCCGATCTCTCCCGTGGTCTATCACGCTGACGCGTCCCCGTGCTTACGAGGGAGACGCTAAAAACTGAAGGTGGTCGGCCGTACAGGAGTTTTCGTGCCACCCCTCCTTAGCCTGCTCCCACCATCTACCGAGGCCAGCAGCTTTTCTCGGCCGAGCCCCGAAGGAGCGATCCCCCACGCGGGGGTTGATGCCGTCGCGCGCACCAAAGGAAAGAGGGTAGCCAGGAGTAAGGTCGTAATCGTCCTCACTGAGGGGGTAAGATACCACGACCAAAGTGGGGACGCCGCTTCGTGGATGTGTGTGCGTCGGCGCGGAAGGAGGGTTGTAAGAAGAACGCCAAGCTTTTACTCTCCCTCCTTCATGCTCCCTACATTCTCCTTTTCCTGCCACTGCCGCGCCTCGTGAACGAGAGCCGAACCTTTTCCCCTCGAGGCCTCCTTCGCCTCCTTTCGCCCCAACCCTGTCTCACGCGTCCTATCTCTCCCTGGTGCTTTCACTCCTTCCTTTACTTTTTATCATCGTGGACTTTATGCGCGCGACATGTTGTTGATTTCTTAGTAGTAGCACGTTTGATAGTGCCAATTTAAGGGTTATCGCCGATCGTTTGGTGCATAATCGAGAAATCGATGATTAAAATAACTATTGCTTAGCTATCCATTTCCTCGCGAATAACATTCTTTCGCGATCATTCATTGTTCCAATAATTCGATGACAGCTGCATATTGAATTTTTTGATAGATTAATTAAGCTTTCCTTATTACATAACAATTAATTATTTGGACGGATTTATCATAAAATTCTTTGCACATCGTTAAACTGTATAAAAATATCACACTTACGAAACTAACACTTATTACTGCTTAATAAAACTTCAAATATTGATCCCATTACACAACATTAAGATGTAGTTTTTATTTGTAATGTCTTTTATGCAAAAGTAAATACATTAAAAATGAAAGAAATTCAACAAAATAGTTCCAAATTTTACGAAGTATCAAAGTACGCGTTGTGCTCGACATGAATCGGTA